GAAGAAATCTGGGCTAAAAGTTTTTCGCTGCCATGCTTATTTTCCATGGACAGAGAAACCGTGATGTGTAAAATCATTCAAGCACCCATTACCTTCTTTCTGCCAAGCTATAGTCCCTCAGCCTCTGAAGTGATGCATTCCTGGAAATACTATAGCATTCACTTTTTCTCAATGTGTAGATTTCTCTCAGGATTTGACAAAACCGTCCTGAGTCCACCCAGGGAGATAGAACAGGTTATAAATAATAATAATAATTATTTTACTGACACAAAAATACAGTATGTCACAGCAAAAGAGATCTATATGCTGGATTTCGTATCACAAAATCACAAGTCGAACACTTCCCAAGAGCCTAGGACTGTGTGATGTATTTTCGAATGATGTGCGCAGATCCAAATAAGGTGGCCTTTTGCAGTTGACAGATCGTGATTTTGTCGATGTTTATTGTTTCCAAATGCCGGCTGAGATCTTTTGGCACGGCACCCAATGCGCCAATGACCACTGGGAGCACCTGTACTGGTTTATGCCAGAGTCTTTGCAGTTCAATTTTGAGGTCTTGATAGCTGCTGAGTTTTTCCTGTTGTTTTTCCTCAATGTGGCTGTCACCTGGTATGGCAACATCAATAATCCAGACCTTTTTCTTTTTTGCAGTCGTGAAGTCTGGCGTATTGTGTTCCAAAATTTTGTCAGTCTGGATTCGAAAGTCCTACAGTATTTTTGCATGTTGATTTTCCACGACCTTTGCGGGTTTATGATCCATCAATTTTTTAGTGCTGGCAGGTGGTACTTGTGACATAAGTTCCAGTGAATCATTTGGGCCACAGAGTTATGCCTTCGTTTGTAGTCCGTCAATGTGATTTTCTTGCAACAACTGAGGATATGGTCCATGGTTTCACCCACTTCCTTGCACAGTCTGCATTTTGGGTCATCTGCTGATTTTTCAATCCTGGTCTTAATGGCATTTGTTCTGATGGCTTGCTCCTGGGCTGAAAGAATCAGGCCTTCTGTCTCCTTCTTCAGTGTTCCATTCGTGAGCCATAACCAGGTCTTCTCCCGGTCAACTTTTCCTTCAATTTTGTCAAGGAACTGCCCATGCAATGCTTTGTTGTGCCAGCTGTCAACTCTGGTTTGGAGTTTTCTTGTACTGACACTTTGTCTGCTGTGCTTTGAGAAGTTTCCGATTGTTGACTTCAATTAAAGCAGGTTCTCGGCTTTCCTTGACATATTCTGCCAAGGTGTGCTTTTCTTCTTCGACTGCTTGTTTTACTTGTAAGAGTCCTCTGCCACCAGACCTTCTAGGCAAATAGAGCCGGTCAACATTACTGCGAGGATTATTATTATTATTATTATTATTATTATTATTATTATTATTATTGAGCTCTCGGTGGTGCAGTGGGTTAACCATTTGTGCCAGCAAAACTACTGACCAAAAGGTTGGTGGTTCGAATCCGGAGAGTGGGATGAGCTCTCATCTGTCAGCTCCAGCTTCTCATGTGGGGACACGAGAAAAGCCTCTCACAGGATGGCAAAACATCCAGGCGTCCCCTGGGCAACTTCCTTGCAGACGACCGATTATCTCACACCAGAAGCTCCCGGCACACAAGAAATTTACTATTGTTATGATTATTATTGCATAAACAAGAGGCATTGTTCTTGTGTGTTCACAGAAACAATGCAGGTCTTTCCTCCTCTCCTTGCTTTTCCTACTTGCCCTCCACCTACCATTGTATGCAAAATCAGACAACTGGTTACCAAAGACAGGCGGTTCACATAATTACAGATTCTGGGGTGTGTGAGAGGAACAGGTGAATATGCCACTTGGTTGACAGGTCTGAAAAATGTTTTCCTTCTCAGTGGTTAAGAATGAATAAAGAAGTTCCTGGTTGATTTCTTACCGAAGCTGGAACATCCACAGGTCTTGTGCATAGCAAGCCTTTTCCCTTATGCACTTCTGCGATATCAGGTCTTTGTGATAATAGGGTTTTTCAGGTGCCTCCTCCCATATCCATTCCCACACTTCAGACTTCCATGCATTTGCCGAAATTGAGTCAGGGCATAGAGAAAGTACTTAAGTATGCACTTCCATTCCCTCCCAACCTCAGCTCACATGGATTCACTTGAATGTCTGCCTACTGCAGTGGTTCTCAACCTGGGGTCCCCAGATGTTTTTGGCCTTCAACTCCCATAAATCCCAGCCAGTTTACCAGCTGTTAGGATTTCTGGGAGTTGTAGGCCAAAAACATCTGGGGACCCTCGGTTGGGAACCACTGACCTACTCTATCAGCTAGCTCTTTTCAATACCATTTGAATTACTTGAAGTAAGAACTAATGAAATAATGATCCTGCCTTTGCAGTTAGACTGAATGTATGCTGCCCTTGTGCTACAACTTCAATATACCTTTCTCCCTTGCTTATCATAATAGGCAAGCAGTCATATTTCCATCTTAAGAGTTGGATTATTGGGGCAGTGTCTGTGAAGCATGTTGAACTCTAAAGTAGTAAAGAAAAATGCAGTGATAGGATGACTACTGGGTGTGATCTCAGAGCAACAACAACAACAATGAATGTATTGCCCACCTCCCTTTGTGGCTCAAGTCCCTTTATCTTCTCAACCAGTGGTTCTCAACCAGTGGGTCCCCAAATGTTTTGGCCTTCAACTTCTAGAAATCCCAACAGCTGGAAAAATGGCTGGGATTTTGGGGAGTTGTCGGTCAAAACAGCTGGGGACCCACAGGTTGAGAATCACTGTTCTGAAGAGCTTGGATGCTAGTTTGTCTTTTTAAATGACAACTTCACACACTCCCAGCTAATAACTTGATCAAGCTCAGAATTTTTTTGCTAACCATACTTCATGAAGATGAGCACCAACCTCCGAGTTGGGCATGAGTAGACTTAATATTAAGGGGAAAACTTTGCCTTTACCTCATAAAGTTGTGGTACTAAAATGAAGATAAATGGCTTTTCAGGGGATAGTGTACAGTGGGCCCCCCAATATCCACTGGAGTTTGGTTCTCGGATCAGTTGTGGATACTAGAACCCGTGTATATTCAAGTCCTTGATATGAAAAGACAAAATCAAGTTTTAACTTCTTTGAATATCTTCAAACTGGTTGAATTCATGGATATGGGGGAGGGGGAGAGACTGTAGACAACATATGTGTCGAAGGATGAAAATTAAAATTGCTTAAAGAAAGACATTGTATTTTCACTCAGTACAATTCCAGAGGATCCTTTCACATAGGTATAGTTTTCATGGCAATAAGGCAATGTGTGAAAGGAACCAAGATGGCTAGAATGACCTTTCTCAACATGGTGTTCTCTTGATGTGTTAGACTACAGCTCCCAACTAATCTCCAGCTGATGGGCTTCCTATGTTGGATGGAATGGGGGAAGTTGTAGTCCAGTGTCACTAGAAGCTTCCATTTGTAGAAGGCTGTGTTAGAGAAGCAAGAGCTTCCTTAATTACTCTTAAGCGTAGATTGGAGAGCTCAAATCTCCAACCTCAACCTTAAATAGGAGACATTGGGCCAGTCAACTGTTTTGTTTTGTTTTCGTTTTTGGCCTTTTTCTTCAAAGGATTCTTATGAAGATGAAACTATGTTAACTCTTGGTTTCTTTTGAGGAAAAGTGTGTAATAATATGAGAAATAAATGTGGGGACCTGTTTGGATCAAAGTGTGCATGCCTTGGGTTGTTGTAAGTTTTTCAGGCTGTATGGCCATGTTTAAGAAGCATTCTCTTCTGATGTTTCACCTGCATCTGTGGCAAGCATCCTCAGAGGTTGTGAGGAGAGAATGCTTCTAGAACAGTGGTTCTCAACCTGGGGTCCCCAGATGTTTTTGGCCTACAACTCCCAGAAATCCCAGCCAGTTTACCAGCTGTTAGGATTTCTGGGAGTTGAAGGCCAAAAACATCTGGGGACCCCAGGTTGAGAACCACTGTTCTAGAACATGGCCATATCGCCTGAAAAACCTACAGCAACCCAGTGATTCCGGCCATGAAAGCCTTTGACAATACATTGTGCTTGACCTACTGTCATGTGAAAATATTTGTTGTACACTATGACCCCCATATTCATTGGATCAATATCTGTAGTTCTATTTATCTGTTAAAAAAATAATTAAAATCCTCTCCAGGGATTTTCTAGATCCTCCAGCACAATTGTATGGCATTCTTGGCCAAAGACGCATGATTTCAATGGGGTCCACGATTACCTGTGGTTGTGTGTATCCATGTAAAGCCTAGGAATACGAAGCTCGTGGTCACATAGTGATAAAACTATGTAACAAAAATTGAAAAAAACAATATGTTCCTGGTTTGAAAGTGTTATTTCCTATTTTATTGTGCAGTACTTACTTTGAAAGCGGTAGTTATACTCTTGAAACTTTGCTTTTGTGCCTGACATTTTTAACCTTTCAATGTGCCAATAATAATAATAATAATAGTAATAATGGGCTCTGGCATAAACTAGTACAGGTGGTCCCAGTCGTCATTGGCACACTGGGTGTCGTGCCAAAAGATCGCAGGCAGCGATCTAGACAAATCACGATCTGTCAGCTGCAAAAGGCCACCTTACTTGGATCTGCGCGCATCATTCGAAAATACATCACACAGTCCTAGACTCTTGGGAAGTGTTCGCCTTGTGATTTTGTGATACGAAATCCAGCATATAGATCTCGTTTGCTGTGACAGACTGTGCTTTTGTGTCAGTAAAATAATAATAATAATAATAATAATAATAACTTTATTTATTTACCTTTAGTGCAGACTGCAAAAACCAAATGTTTGCAGTTTAATAAACTTTTTCCATGTTTTGCTATAGAACCAATTAGGAAATGACATTTATAATCCAGGAAAGATTTGCTAAATAGTGTCATCAGTCTGAAGTTACCTTTTCCATTTGGTGGCCTTTTTCATTTCTTGAGAGATCTTTAAGGAAAGTGTACAGCATTCAGTCCACACAGTGTACATATTTAACGGTTTGCCTGAATTTTCTTTCAAGCTTGGTAGAGAACGGAAGACCTCCAGATCCTGCCGACTGGGCAGTTACAGATGTGGTTAATTATTTCCGAACGGCAGGCTTTGAAGAACAAGCAAGTGCTTTTCAAGAACAGGTAAGTCTATTCAAACACTTAATGCAAATCAGAAGGATTTTTAAAGATTACAGTTCCCAGAATCTTCTGTGACATGTTGACTGGACAGTTCTGAGAGCTTTACTCCAAAACTTTTCTAGCTCTGTTTAAATTTAGCTTGATATTCTGTTTGTTCCTGAAGATAACAACAGCATATTTTCATTACTAGTCTATAAAAACGCAAGACTACTTTGCTCAGACGTGACTTTCTGATGCATATGAAGTACGTTACAGTGGGTGGGTGGGTTGGGGAGTGATTATAGGCTTTGTGTAACTGCAAATGATAGTAGCATTTACATAATTGTTGTACAGAGATTAACCACTGTGGCTCTGTAATGAGCAAACCGCTGATCCAGCAGGGTTTATGTATTCATTTGTACTCCTTATTAGCTAAGTGTTCTTTTTCAAGTAGGCATGAGATTTTATGGCTGAGAAAACTGAACTGGGAAAGGACAGCAGGATCCACACTCACGCTGGCCTTGAAATGGGATCACAGAGCCCCTAGAGGGAGCTAGCACTTGATTCAAAATTACTGCTCAATTATGGAATATGTCTGTGCATTGGAGGCAGGCTCCATAGATTGTTTGTTTATTGTGTCAGAAGTGAATTGAAGGTACAGTTATTTTGTATTTAAAAACACAAAGTTTAAAACTTGGCATTATACTAAATATCTTTTGACCAGAAGCTGGCCACTTGAAGTGCCTCTGGTCTCTCTGTAAGAAGGTCCTCTATTGTGCATGTGGCAGGGCTCAGACTGCATTGTAGTAAGTAGTCTGTGGTTTGCTGTTTTCTGCACTTGCATGTCATAGACTCCATTTGGTAGCCCCATTTTTCTGCACCTTGTGGTGCCAGATCACAGTCTACTCAGCACCTTCCAAGTCGCCCAGTTTTCTGTGTGTCTAGGGGGGAGCTTATCATCTGGTATTAGCCACTGATTGAGTTTCTGGATTTTAGCCTGCCGCTTTTGGACTCTTGCTTGCTGAGTTGTTCCTGTGAGTATTTCTGTAAATCTTAGAAAACTATTTAAGATTTAAGGCATTGACATGCTGGTTGATATCTGAACAGAGGATGAGCCAGAGATGTCACTGCCTTGGTCCTTTCATTCTTGGCTGCTAATTCCTGACATATATCAGGGGGTTCCATGGCTCAAAATGGAAAAGAAACACATTGCACTCACACTTATTTATGAAAGAATCCATTTCATACCTCTGGAAATTAGCAATAGGATGAAGCCCCTCTTGCTTTGAAGAAAATTTAATGTGTTCCATTGGAAAAAAGGGAAAAAAAATCATACAAAGATGTGAAAGATTGACAGAAATATATATATTTGGAGGAAAAATGTAATCAGTGGGAATATTCTTTAAAAATAGTATTTCCTTAAAAATATGTACCAGTTTTCATACAAATAGAAAAAAATCTCAAGTTGTCGAAGGCTTTCATGGCTGGAATCACTGAGTTACTGTGAATTTTTCGAGCTGTATGGCCATGTTTCAGTAGCCTGCATCTGTGGCAAGTGTCCTCAGACCTCTGAACAAACCTCTGAGGATGCTTGCCACAAATGCAGACGAAAGGAAAGAATGCTACTGGAACATGGCCATACAGCCAAAAAACTCACAGCAACCCAAATCTCAAACTGCTTAATAAGAATCAGTGAGAGATGGTGAGGAAGTGACAGATTCAGAGATTTCTACTAGCAAGGTAGCTGTTAAAGAGAATGAAGACTCCTCCAATGTGGATTTAGTAATCTTAAGAAAGATTGCTCTATGTCATAGATACCACAGAAGAGGCAAGACAGGCCAATCTGGGACAGCTACAACTTTTGCTGGCCTTCTCAATTAGTGAAACATCCTTGTTTTTCTTTGTGATTTTTCTGTAGCACTTCAACCTGTGTTACCACAATAACATTAAGAAGGCCCACATGACATGACTAGAATCAATTGCATTGACTATCTTGCCTAACGATTGCTCTCACTGGCTAGGTACTAGTTGGATTTCAAGAACTTTTTGTTTGATCTGGGGAATATAGTCTCAGCATCTTGAATCATAGTGTGAAATCATGAAACAACCGCAGTAATGTGTAAAATTGTCTTTTACGGACCTACCAATTGAAAGAAAGATGAAAGAGAAGTCCCTAAAATTGATGGAGACTTGTTGTGAGATCACTTCGGGCTTAGTTTGTTCATTGAATATGGGAGAAGACATTTCGAGGCTTTTGTCCTGGAAGGGTGGGTTGATAACAAGAGAGACACCCAAATGCACTGTATCGAAATGATCAAGTATGATTGTGTTGCATTTTGAAAACATGCAAATGTGAGTAGATCAATAGGTACTGCTTCGGCAGGAAGGTAATGGTGTTCCATGCAGTCATGCCGGCCACATGACCTTGGAGACAACATTGGCTCTTCGGCTTAGAAATGAAGATGTGCACCACGCTCCAGAGTCGGACACGACTAGACTTAATATCAACAGGAAACCTTTACCTTTAATCCTTTTGGTACTGATTTTGGAGAGTGTTCCCTGGTTAAAGGGGTTGCTGGTCAAGTGGTCCCTCGTCAAAAAAAGGTTGGGAACCACTGTTATACATTTATCAGCTGTAGTTTTAAAATAAACCTTCCTGATGTCTCAGATTTGCTTTACATTGCCATTCTGAGATGCTGTAGCTATTTTGACTTATGGCAGTCCCATGAATTTATTGGAGTTTTCTTAGTCAATGAATACTCAGAAGTGTTTTTGTCATTTCCTTCCTCTGAAATACAACTTACAGTACCTAATATTCCCATTCAAGTGCTAACTAGGAGTTACTCTGCTTAGCTTCCAAGACCAGATAGGATCCAGTGTCTGTGAGGTCTTTAGGCTTTGATGTATCAAAAGCATCAATTTTAAAAATGTACAATATTAAAGTTATGCTATTAGAGAAGTGTTCCTTAGTTACCACATTCCATGATTCCATTTTCACTATGTCATAATAATCATGGGTAGAGGTGGAAGAGTATTTTTTCCTATAGTAACAGATTTGCTGGTGGTGACGACAATATTGTTGAAGTAGGGGTGAGAAACATGTAGCCCTCCAGACATTGCTGGACATTCATCACCATTGGCCAGTGCTGGTTCAATTTGCAGTCCAACAACTTCAGGAGGGCTTCGTGATTCCCACACATGTGCTAAAGAAAGAGTTCCTATGCAAGTGGGAAAGAAAGATTTTGTTACATGTTTTTTTAAAAAAATTAAAGTAACTGCAGAGACTTGGCTCATTAAAATAATCCCAGTGAATACTATGTGCTTGAAGACTACAGATTTGGGCAGGGAGGAGCTGCTAGTCTCCAGTTCGAAAATTATGTACTTGAGCAATGCAAGTCAGCTAGATAGGTGTATAAATAATCTAGCCATCCCCCTGCCATGCATTGCTGTGGCACAGTGTGTGTATGTGTGTTTTGTGTGTATAGATGTGTGTGTGTATTTGTGTATATGTGTATATGTGTTTTTGAATATATATGTGGTTTTGTGAATGTATTGTAATGTATTTTTATTTCTTGTCTTTTTAAGTCTCTTCCGCTGTTTTTCTGTGGGTTTTTTTTTTTAGTGATGGTCACTTGTTGGCCTGATAGGTGTATTGTGTCCAAATTTGGTGACAATTCGTCCAGTAGTTTTTGAGTTATGTTAATCCCACAAAGGAACATTACATTTTTATTTCTATAGTTGAAGAGTTTTATGTTCATACAGGATAAATTATGACAATTTGAGCCATTTTCAAAGCCCAAACACCCATTATTTTGAACTTTCTGTTCCTCTTTGATGTCATCTAGTTCTAAAGGACGGCCATCATTCCCACATATAACCAATGGGATTGCAGTATGCAAATTATTGAAAGTGAGCTGTTACTGGATATAATGATGATGTCACAGATGATGTCACAGTGGGCTGTTTGAATCGTTTTGAAGCCAACAGCTTTTCATAACTGACCCGATATTGTCAGTACCTAAATACAGTGACCTAGACATCAAGTGCTTATTGCATTCAAGACTATTCAGTCTTTAACATTATTATATCTTATAACGACAAGGCTGACCAAACGCCAGAAGATATTGCGACAGTACGCTGATATTTGGTGAAACGGAAAAAGGAAATATTGCTTGACCTTGTTTGAAGAAGATGGTGAATTACTATGAGGTCCTCGGAGTACAAAAAACTGCTTCTTCAGATAAGATTAAAAAGGCATACAGACAGTTGGCCTTAAAGGTGCATCCTGATAAAAATCCAGGAAACCGAGAAGCAGCAGAGAAAAAATTTGTAGAAATCTCTAAAGCATACGAGGTCTTATCTGATGATAAAAAGAGAGATGCGTATGACCGATCCAACAGAGTGGTCATAAAAGAACGACATGCAGAAAGACGGGGTGGGACTGGAGGCAGACATGATGATGGACGCAAAGACAAAGTCCGTGAAAAAAGGAGATCTGAAACAGAACTTCGCTCCCACCGGCCGCACATTGATGAGCATGAAAATGTGGACACCTTCTCACTCAACATCTTTGGTGATCTGCTTGACCACATTTCTGGGCAAAGCAGCCGAAGTGGCAGCAGCTTTTCTGTCTCTATCAGTGGGGTCACCCCTATTCCGGGAACTAGTTTTACTTCTTTTGGCCCTGAGATTACTGGATGCTGTTCCTGCTCCATAAACAGTAGCACCATAGGGAAGATCAAGTCTGTCATAACAACTAGCAAGATTGTGAATGGCCAAAAAGTCATTACAAAGAGAATTGTGCTGAATGGCAAAGAGAGAATCGAAATTGAGGAGCCACTCTGCCACTGAGCTTCTCCCAGCTGTCTTTGGTAAGGGACATAGCTATTAAACTTGAGGAGGGTACTATTGAACACCTGTATATGTATATGAAACATACATGAATTTTGTGTTTAAACTTGGGCCCCAATTCCAGGATATCTCATTATGTGTGTGTGTGTGTGTAGGTGTATCAACATTTTAAAAAATCTAAAACACTTCTGGTCTCTGGTCTCAATCATTTTGGATAAGGGTTACACAATCTCTATATGGATAAAATAAATTATCTACATGGTGCCTATGTCTCTGGCAGTGAGGCCATTCAAGGACATTCATTATTGGGTTGTTGTAGGTTTTTTCGGGCTATATGGCCATGTTCTAGAGGCATTCTCTCCTGATGTTTCGCCCACATCTATGGCAAGCATCCTCGGAGGTAGTGGATTCATGCTTATGGCCACAATTTCTGGGACTTCTGCAAACTAAAAACTAAATGCACAGTTTATATTTGGAAAAAGCCATTCCAACTGAAGCATTTTGTGATATTATTATTTTTTTGGCTTCGAGTAGTTATTTATAGGCATACTTTTTCCTTTATTAGTGTCTTTTCTCATTGATATGTTTTGTTGCTTTATGGTTCAACATCTTAAAAGAATACATGCCATTCATTCTATCTCAAGGATCTGACCACACAGTAGAACAGGTAGAGACAGGCCTCTAACTGGCTTATTAGCGTGATTGAATACTAAGTTAACATATGCAAAATGTCATTGCCAACTTTGTCTCATGATTTTTGCACACCTTAGCATGTGTTGTCTTTAATTTTAATTAGCAATATACTCAGGTATGTATCTTTGACTACAATTTGAATACCAAACTGATAAAGAAGATTAAGGTTTATTTTAATATCAGCTGATGACAGAATATTGTTTGTAAGGATTGGGAATGTCAAAATAATATGATGCGTATGTTATGGTTGCTTTTATTGGCGGCTGATAAGTACAATCAATCTTAACTATATGGAAGTGGTACTAATTGCTTTTTCTCACTTACAACATCCAATCCCATAA